TCTCTCTCTCTCTCTCTCTCTCTCTCTCTCTCTCTCTCTCTCTCTCTCTCTCTCTGGATTGAACGCAGGACCTTGTGCTTGCCAGGCAAGCACTTATTCTACTGAGCTACCTCCCTGGCTCTCTGATATCTCTTAAGAAGACTTATTAGATTCAGGCTCCATCCTAATCAGTGCGATTTCAGAGTTTTGCTTTGATCACATCTGCAAAGGCCCTTATTTCAAATACAGTCACATTCTTATGTTCTAGGTAGAAATATCTTTTGTGGAACCATTGTTCAACCCTTTAGAGGCTCTGTTTTCAGTTTCCTGGAGGAGGGAATTGGTTTGACCAGCACTATTGAAATGTCTAGACATTTGTCAGGTTTTTGGCTATCTCTGAACCTTCCTATTGAGGAATCTGAATACATGGTAGTTAGGATGTGTCTGGTGGTGTTAACTATGCTCTGTCACAAGTTCTGTTTAACTGGAGATAGTATGAAGTATCATGTAACAAACTGGAAGAGCTAATGACCAGCAGTGGAAGAGATTGCCAGAAGCCAATGGACATCCTGGGCAAACTTTCCAGTGCCTGACCCCAGTTGTTGTTTTGATTTTTTCCCTTGCCTTGCTCTTATCCTTCCCGCTAATTGCCCCAGAACTCCCTAGCAGATCTTTCCCTAGTAGAGGATGGGCAGGTTAAATGTCTGTGTCTGTGTTTTGGCAAATAAAACATCAAGTTGCCAAAGGACAGACACTTAGGCCGTTTTGTTCTGCAGCAACCCACAGACCATTTTGATTGCATGCTCTGAGTAGACACTGTGCTGATACTGGGTGGCAGGAAGTTTGGAGTAACTGGCTGATGTGGTCTTGGGCTTTGAGTTTTGAAAGCTGAGGTTCATTCCCAGAAGGACCCATGGAGATGGTTCCAGCAATTCATACATGGCAAACTGAGGTGGGAGCTAGGGAAGTATTTTTCCATGTTGCCCAGGGCTCTCTGGTGGTCCTGAGCCAAATTAAGGGGTTCTTTTGGTCCCAAACCATTTTCCTCCATCACAGTCAAGAGTAAATATAGTTCCCACTGCATGCTGTCCTGTGTCAGGTGGCCTGTGGAGTGTCAGGCAAATCTGTAGTCTTGGGGGAGAGGGAATATATTTGGCTCTAAAGATGCCGCTGGTCCAGAATGGTGTTTGGGGCCTCTTAAGGAAGCATATCTGAAGAACTGGAAAGAAATTGTCCATGGATGTTTCTTGGCAGAGAAAGCCTTGAGAAGGATGAGATGGGCCTTCTCTGGGCAGCCAGAGAAAGAGGGCAAGGATGGATGGTTGAGGTAGGCTTTCAACGGCCATGGTGAACTTTCTGCTTCCTTTCTGTCTCCTCTTTCTGCTATGAGTGCCAGCTTTGAGTCCCAGTGGGTCACTGTACAGGAGCATCTAACAGAAGGGCCAAGTAGGAGCTCAAATCCAGCCTCTCATGCTCCATGAAGTGGGCTTCATCTGCCCAGAAAGACCCATTATGAGCTAGTGATTGACCTGTGCTTTCTCCTGTCATGGTTGGCCTCTTCTGCCTGATCCTTAGTGACCTGTCCAGGTAGGCATCTAGACTTGCCCTACCTACTTCTGGCTCATGGGCAGTGCATGTGGCAAGCAGCCACTCTCTGGACATTCCGTGCACTTGAGGCACTTAGCCGAAGGAGCTTGTGGGCTTCATAAAAGATCTGCTGAAATTGGAGCTGGCTCCGAGAATAGGAAATGAGAGCCAGGGAGTATGGTAGGAGACTCAGGGCTTTCTACTCAAGAGGAAAAGAATATGTATCCTTCTAGGAGGGTATGTATCTTTGCTGAGGGAGATAAAGTTTCTTCTGCCTCCCAAATCCTTCCCAGCTAATAAGCACATCTGTGGAAATTCCTGTTCCCAGAGCGCAGTGAGATATGATGTGAGCATAAACTCAACCACAGCAGGCACAGGTGGCCAGCACCGCGTATGCCAGGTGTTCTGCTGCCTGGTGATGAGTACCGACATCCAGCTGCCAATCTGCTGGGGGTGACAGGGGTGGAGACCAGTAGGTGTGACAGAAGTACCAGAGGACCAGAGATTAAACCACTGCGGTCACCTGGATGGTAGTGATGGTGCATGGGAGGGGGGCCCTAATCAGAATCTCTGCAGATCTGGCTTATGTGTCGCAGTGATTACTGACTGATGACTTGAGCCAGGGTGTTCCTATGGGAAAACATGTTCCCCTCAGCATCCACCTTCCTCTTCTGTGCTCCTCTAAGCCCTGTGACACGCTGGACACATTTCTGTGACAGCTCCCAGGATGCCACAGATCAGGTTCCTCCTGTGGTTTTGCTTCTCATTGTACAACCAGTGGAGTAGGGTGAGGGAAGGACACCTGAAGGGCAGAAGGTGCACACCTGTTCCAGGCAGCCCTGCCTGAAGGCTCTGGTGAGGCAATGGGGAGGTAATTTCTCTTCCTTATGGAGAAGACATTTCTGGTGTCAACATACTAAT